GTGTGTATTTTGCTTTCTATAAATTTAACTCGTTTCAAGTTAAACGTATAATTTTCGTCAATAGTACCTCTATCTCTCGTTCTATGGAAATTGCAATTCTCCATAATTTATTTTGAATACTGGATAAATAACAATGCCAATGCACTTGTGTGTTTCTTATTTTTTTGTAGCATCGAAATCAAATCATACTAAAAGATCCAAAGTGGGTTGGCACAGGAAGAATGTACGATTTCTATCTGCGATTTGTGTGATAGGTAAAAACGATTCAATCGCCTTTGGTTGAACACGAAAATCATTTCAATACCTGCAGTCAGGCTGTTTTTTCTCCATACCATTTCAAGCTATTTGGGTCAATGAATGGTGAATTTCATTTGAATAAAACTCTAGTTTGCGACGAAACAATGTGCCATGATGAAAGCAACAATTTGTCTATTGATTAGTTTGACATAAATCGAAACGAGTATTCCCAAAACGATTCATTTTTACCCCAATTACACACACATAACCGTTTCCGATCACGTTCACTCTGCAGTAATAAAAATATTCCATATGATTGGTGGCACGAAAGTGCCACGAGAGAAACAGAGACAGAGAAAGAACCATATAGCTTAATTAGCTGCAGTAATTACGGTACCATTATTACACCGTCTTCCTAATGGTTAATTGGTTTCGCTCGATTAGCTTATATTAACGGTTATGCTGCCAAATTCTCGGTGAAATATGGCGTGTGCTCATTCTTTTATTCTTTCAGTTTTGCGCATCGCATTTCACCAATTGACTCTTTCTATCGAGGTATACCAATTTTTTCACACTTCATGCCGTTCGATTTCGAATGAATGATGAGATTGAGATTCCCAAATGAGGCGCCAGTGACTCAGTCTAATTGAAAATGCGTTCACAAACTGAAGCAATATCTTTTTTTTGTTTTGAATTCAATTGTATTTTCTGCTCGTAGACGCTGAAATAACATGTTAGAAATTCAAAATACTTTCGAAATATCCGGAAAAAAGTTGAAATCATCTCAATATATTCAATATCTTAACTTTTTCTCACTTTAGCAACGTTTGGAATGTGTCCAAAAAGCATTGTGTTGAAGACGAAAAAAACGATCGAAATTTTTTTCGACTCTTGTTTTTGCATTTCAAACTGAATTGAAATAAAACAACAACGGAAAAAAATGTTGCGCAAACCTGGAACGTGCATCGTAAAATCAGGCAGCGACACTCTGACTACATTTCGATTCATGTTGGTGAATTGCTGAAAAAATATGTGCACTGTGCATTTATAATCAAAAGATAAGACAGAGTGCGGCGCGCATCATTGACAATACGAACACAGAGTGAGACATACACACGAAATGAGAGAGAACGTGTCAGAGAGAGAAAAAATTGTATGCAATTGCCATTCGAATATGCTTCAGCAGTTTCATAATGCAAATATTTTATGCAGCTAGTAAAGTAGATAACGGCCAAAATATACAGCCGTTACTTTTTTTGCTACTTTCAAAGTTAGCGACGGGTTGGTGAAGCACAAAAAGGCGAAAAACCAACAACGTAAAAATTAAAAATCGCACATTAAAAAGGATGCACATACAAAGACCAGAATGCTGTGTGTGTGTGTGCTGTCGGTACGAGGGGTGAAATACTCAGAAATTTAGTTTGCACATGATGGTGCGGTGACGGCGGTCGCGCAAGATGTAAACGTACGACAAAGCATATAATATTTTACAGCTATCTAGACCATTTCGTTTTAGTGCTTTTGCGTTCGTTCATAAATATTTGCATTAAATGCACTTTGTGCTATTATCTTGATATGCCGTTTCATTTGGTGTTGTGCATTAGCACTTTCTGGATTTACTCTCTCTCTCTCCCGCTCTTCATTGGTATTTCTCTTTTTCGATGCACTCAGTTTCATTTGATGTCCACAGACACTCACGCAGACACAAATTCACTGTTCTCCGTATGTACATTAATGGTGCTGTTTTTCCTCGTTCACTATTTACAGCAAACGAAAACAACAGCACCATTTGCTACATTTTTTTTATTGATGTTGTTGTGTTGAAAAAGTTCGTTTTCATTCGAACGCTTTCCGTATCTTAAAAAAATGATTTCTTTTTTGTTGTCATGCATATCGACACATTTGTAAATTGTTGGCCACATTTTATGTACAATGAACAAACCATTGAATTCCCCAGCGTAACATGAAATGTATGCGCATCATTTTATGTGAATTATTAACGATTGTGCTGTTTCGAAATTATTCAATTTTTCGGTATATTATGTTTGATATTTGTTTGCCAGTCGGAAATGGTAGTGTTTTTTGCTCGTCTAATTGGATGATTTCCGATAGGTTTGACTTGTATCATGATGTCAGTGTCGTCTATTAAAAAAATGTAATAAAAACTGAAGAAAATCACATGACAAAATGTCTGTCACAAAACGTGACGACTGAATAGTGTATCGTTTTCAGAAGCCGTTTTTTTCCACTTTTGTACGGATGCCTCATCTCACACATTGAGCCAAAGTAATCACAATAAAAAACTCATCAATCATTTGCTCGTTGACATCGGTATGGTTAAATGCTTCTCGCTGAAATGCACACACACACACTTGTGGCATATCGTAATTACACAAATCACTGATTTTCTGCGATTTTCATATTTCAAATTTGAACATTTATCATCATTAATTCGTGTGCGCGAAGACGCAAAAATAATCATCGGCTTATGTGTGTGTTTGTGTCTGTGTATGTTTGACGGCCGCACTGCCATTTAAATCATTGTGCTAAGTGCAAGTGGTAAAATTAACGTTTGTGACACGTTGAGTGTATAATATCACTTACTGTTAATTTTATTGTACGATTGTCACACAATTACAATGCATTCGATTTGTTTACACGATCAACATAGATGGAAACAATGAGCATTTTTTTTGTGCGCGCGTGAGCTCACCTCAAATGTGTATTTATTCATGCAAACAATGGATGAAATTGCGAGCAAAAAAAATCAAATTAAGATCGTTAAGAAAACGTTATTTTCAATTATATTCTGTGTCAAATTGCTATGGAAAAAAGAGACTCAAACAAAACACCGAGATACAAAAAGCGAGTAGAAAGGAAATCGTTTCCAGCTAGATCGGTAGGCAATTAAGCACCGTTGTTGCAAATTCTTACTACACGAACTAATTGAATATTTTTCTTGTGTGCGTTGTTTTTTTCTTGTTGTTTTTTTTGTGTGTGTCGACAATTGTGGGCACACAAAAATTGGCATGGCTTAAGTGCTTACAGTCTCGTTCATCTCGGCTACACGATGAACTCGTTAATTCGATTGTAAAAGAGCACCATTTTAACATAAAATCGAAGAACAATCCGACCGAGTCGTCTGGCCTTTTTTTCGTGTGTGGATGTTTGTTGCTTTTGCCTTTTTTCCGATGTACTCACGAAATTAAAATTTGAATTGCAATTGTGGCGTTTTAACCGCAGAATAACGAGCATAGAGCAACAATGTGAGATGCGATCATCTCGAATAGAGAAAACAAAAAACAACGACAATTGAAGAAAAAACAACAACAGACGAATAGAAAGATGTTCCATACATTACATTGGAAATAAACAAACAATTATGTTGCCGTTTGCATTTCCAGCAAAACACAAAGAACGAAGACGAACAAAAAAAAAATGTGTATGTAAAATAAACAATAATTATCATATCAAGAACGAATGCAGGAAAAATCGAATCGATAAAAACGAAAATTGTACACTGTTCTCTCGTTTGTTTTTGCGGTTCAAAATCACAGTCTGTGGAGATGCAAAGACATGCATTTTCTAATATCAAATCACCAATGGGTACATATCGCGGTTTTTTTTTCTTTTCTGGTGCCCGATGATGCACTTGTAGGCTAGTCACAAGGTGAACAAATACAAGTCGCGCGTGTAACTAGTGCTTTTCATTCAAGTCATGACTCTCGTTCTCTATCTTCGTTGAGGCGATTGCAGAAAGAACTGAAGAGAAAACCATGTGATGATCAGCCGGTGCAATGGGTTGGTGTGCATATCGATTTTGTATGCATGCATATCGCACATCGTGGAAGGCATCAAATCGAATTTACCTGACATGCACTTGGCTTTGGCTTGCGTATGCAATGTAATAACTACAATCAGACCAACGTCATCATCATCACCACCACCACCATCATCATCAGCAGCAGCAACAACATGTCTATTGTCGACTGGCTTATACGCGCTTATATAATCCGGTTAAATGTTAAACGTGACTTTAACTAATAATAACAACAATGCACGTATAAGCCTAACATTGAAACTTGTTGGTTACTCTTTTTTTTCTCTATTTATAATTATTTGTATGTTTGTTTGTGTTTATGTATGGATGTATGTTTTGCACGGCGATTATTTCTTCTTGTTTTTTCGTTGCGCTTGATGCCTTCTTGTTCACAAGGTTTCCTCAATATGCGATAGTGCGATGTGCAATGCCATTTTTTTCTGCAGTGCTCTGTATTATTGTCGTCGTTTGCAATGGCAGTGTCGAGTAGTGCCATTGATATGCCTTTTGGAGCAAAAGTTGCGCATTTCTATTTTGTTGCAGATTCGGTTTTTTTCTCTCTCGTTCTGTTTTGTTTTCATTGGCTTCACATTCAATCCGAATGAATACAACATTCAGAGAGGGAGAGAGAGAGAAAAGGCATAAACAGACCGAACAAAAACATAGTCTACAAAATCGAATCGCTTGAAAATGTGAAACAGAGAGAAACTTGAAACGAAATTTCATGATGCAATGCATATGTTCTACATAAATATCGGTGGTGTGTGTATATGTGGATGGAATGGTTAGAAAGAGATAGTGGATGGCTATGAAGAAGAAGAAATATACAAACAAAAACAAACATACTTCTCGCGCGCACACGCATATAAGCGTGAACAAACAATGGATAAACGAACGTATATTACAATTACGAATGTACGAAAAAAAAAGAGTATGAACTTACCATTGAACATTCCGGTTGTTGCAGACAAGACATATCATCCATGGCAAACTAGAAGAAAATATGGAAATTAATATACGTGTTTTTTTGCAGAGAAAAAAATATATGTATGAAAAGGAGCTAAAACGCATTGGAAAAACTAACAAACACAATGTTCTGTTTAAATGGTGAGATAGAGGGAAAATAAACTATGGCCTTTTAATAGTATTTTATGCATGTTTTGCTGCATTTTTCAAATATGCAAGTGTCCGACGCTGTATTACATAGACACACGAGCTGTGTGTGGTGAGCGCGGTTTATGCAGAGAGAAAGAGAGAGAGCGCAAATTCTATGTACAAAATCACATGATACGGCCACGTTTTTTTTTACGAGAACACCCATAAATGAATCACATTGAAATTGGCCAGAGGCCGATTAGGGTGGATACACGACGAAGACCAACCATTAATTTTATTGAGCTCACTCAATCCACCATTTTTGTACTCATACGTGTACGCAGACGATTCTGACACTGAGCTCATCGTAATTCGCTACGTCATTTTCCTATTTCTTTATCGGCTAACCTTATCGCACCCTCATCAATGCGCTGATCTGTTCGAATGATTTGAGGTCATGTCTCTCTTTCTCTGCGGCTATTTTTTCGCCTCGTATAATAATGAGCAATCGATCGATATTATAGCAAAAATCCACTTCGTAAAACATCGATGCGAATTTGTCATGCTTTGAAATAGCCAATGTTCTACCCCAAAAAAGCATATGGAATGGCGTCCCGATTAATGTATGTACGCTTATCCAAATCAAGCAAACAAACAAGCGCAAAACAGATGAAAAAAAACCTTAAACAATTCAACCATATTTCATAGTCGAGAGTTCATCCATATGGATGAGTGAGGAGCACAAAAAAATAAATATATTTTTGCTCTTTAATTGACTCATTTATTCCTGCTTGACCATGATTGTAGCCAATATACGCGCACTATTTCAAAACATTAAGTTTTTCGTTCGTAAAATGCTTCGTATCACATCCTCACGATTGCTCTCGCTCTTTCTCTATTTGCCTTATTGAGCAAACTGAAATGGGAATTCATGTCATTTACAGTCTTGATGTTTCGAAACCATAAATAGATCAACGAGCGAAACGCAAAGAATTGCGCTGCGCTTTTTTTTCTTTATTCTGACTGTGTGCTTCGATGGATTCATTAAAGCGACACATGATATCATAATCCATGCGGTTGTTTTTTCGTGTCGTTGTAGTTCGCTTTCTGTAGAGCACAATTCGATTTTTCATTTCTGGATTAAAAATATAACCATGTCGGCGGTCGCAATCATCAAGTTTGTGCCATCAGAATTCACATCAATTCAGAAATCACGTTTGGCTCGGAATGTAATAAAATGACTTTGACGATACAATATAGTTGATAAACGACGAAATCTCATGGAAATTTGCCATTACAAGCCCCGACATGTGCAGAGAGCGCGCGCGCGAGAGAGAGAAAGAGAGAAAATAGCAAACAATGCTACCAAAAAAAATATCACATGAAAATGGCATTTTGGTGGAGATCGAAATCCATTGGAACACTGCGGTAACAATGTTTGAAAAGAGTGAACGCTTCGAATATGTTTTCTTCGGTGGCGTTTGCGGGAAACGAAACTCACAGTATACACAAATAACACAACACATGCGTCACGTACATCGTATTTATTTGGAGTTTTTCCACATTTTCCAAAATGTGTCTGCATTGCATATTCAATGAGCCACACCGCCATTCCGTGCACGCTGAACGGAATAGCAGCTTCTTGTATCCAATATATCTTGGTGTACGATTTTCTTTATTGCAAAAATTCGGTGTTATCTGCGCACGCCGGATTTTAGCTATATGACATCAACTCTCCATGTTCGTTCTCTGACTTTGACGAATTTTTGATCAACTGTACAAAAAAACCCGTCACGTACATCCCAAAAGCTAAGAACAAAAATATATATATTCGAAATGTCTATGAAATTACGTGATTCGATCGAAATGAATGGAAAATCCTACGCAAGAAAATGCAATTCACGCAGGTCTGCCAAATAGGAAAAACCCTTTTTCTTTAGGATTGGACCCAACACATTCCAAATGATTTAATTACATTGAAACGGTTCGTCGGCCCATTCTTTTTGTTGTTCGTTTTTAATATAGTATAATCAATTCAACAGCTGACAACTAATTTCGAGCACAACAGACAAAAAAAAAACTGCATCAAGAAGCAAAAAAATGGATGTCTTTCTATATCTCATATATATTAAATTTTGTGGTGAACACCCTCTTTTCGATGATGTTCAACAACTTTTCCCGATGTTATTTCCATCCTAATTTGGACATTTTCGCGCTAAATATTGACGAAGCGAAAAAAAAAGACAAACCGAAAATTAAACGTCAACATCGACGAGCACGTTCACATAAAATTAGCTACTTGAACGGCGACGATGAAGAATCAAGACGAAAATCAACGTTCGTTCGGTCGTTGTTTTCTCTCTTGTCATCATTTTGAACAATATCCTTTTTTCATTGTGCATACTAATGGTCTTCCTCTTGTATACCACTTACTCTCTTCTCTTTGTATGCATTGAATTCTCGTTTTTTTCGTCGGTTTGGAAATAACTTGTTTTATTTTTGGAAGAAAAACACCAAGGAAGGAGAAAAAAAAACATAAATTAGGGATCATATGGCCTGAAGGCGTGTTACTATACACATTATCTAGCTAACAAACTCAACTTTTCGTAGATGTAAACGTATTTGAAGATAGAATGAGAATGGAAGAACGAGAGCAAGAGCATTGAAACCAATAATATTAGCGTGTAAGTGAAGTCGTGCACACATTCACCGACTGCGACACAGCTGAATTCATGTAATAATTTTGGTTTGGTTTTTGGACCGTTCTGGTACATATAGCATTTTTTGCGCCATCATACAAACTAATTGAATGTTTTACGCACTTAATATGCACTCTTCTTGGTAATTATTTACCGTGCAGCTAATTTCACATGAGGTCATGACGAAGAAAATACAATCGGAGAATTGTTCTTACTATTAAAAAAATACTTCTGTGTTCTCTTCTTCTCTCTCTCCCTCTCTCTCTCGCTCTCTCTCTCTGGCTCGAATCAGTAATGCAAATAAAAATTGAACAAATTTCTATCCAAGCCTTATTTAATTGTGCATATATTTCGTTAAACGCTTTTGTCTTCTGCATACAAAACAAATGAGCGGAATTCAAATTAAATTTTCAAATTATTCAAACTGATCAAATTAAATGCGATGGCAGTTTTTAGTTAACAATCCGACGACGTCCATAGCAAAGTATGATGCATTGAGTGTATTGTTTTTGTTATTCACCATTCACAAAATGCACTGTATGTGATAAAATGTATTCGAATGAATTGAATTCGTAATTTGGTTTAGTTTATCGTGTTCGGGTATTCCGGCGCGTTTATAATTAACATTGTTTACATTAAAATGAAAATGGGCAATTTGTCAGAATGTTGAATAATTAATGCGAACAGAACACCCTCGTTGACTGTCGTTGTTGTTGTTGTTTCTGCTGCTGCTGTTGTTGTGGCTATGAAAGATGGTATATTACAGTGTCTGGCACACCATGCATGCTATCCAATGTTAAAATTATATCCAGTTCCCCAAAAATCGCTGGCACGATGGGACACACATCACCAAAGAGAGCAAGCGTAAAATTTTCAGTTTTTCATTTTGTCGAAAGGCATATACGAAAACTTTGTTCGAATGTTTAAAACGGTGGCAAATACCGAAAAAGCGAAGCAGCAGTAGCAAAGCTGCCGAATGGTGACCATGAATAATGGCCAAGCATTGGGAACAAGAGCAAAAACGTAGAGATAAATGTTTCAAATACACGGAAAGACAATAAATAATGGCAACGGAAAATGGTACTCTCTCGGTTTGCCCTGTATTCTGATCAGCATCATAATTCATACAGCCAAAATGGTAACAGAGGTTGAAATACCTAGCCAACTTGTTATGTAACCCAGTTTTTTTTTGTTCATTGTTCGAACTCATCCTGGCAACCCCGTTGCTGAGTGTGGAAAAATTTCATCGATTTTAAACGCTGTTAAATACGTTAAGAACCTAGTTTTGCAGTTAATAACACATTGAATCGATAAAATAATTAACAAACCTTTTTGCTACATTCATCACGGCAAAGATGCTGTTGCAGCAATGCAACGGATTTATCAGCCTCGGTGGTAGTTGCTGTAGAGGTGGTTGTGGTTGATCGAGCCATTGCCGAATGGCTGTCAACCATTCCAAAGACCAACACAATACACCCACATAAAATCGATTTAAGTGCTGTCGACGATGCCATTTTATCGTTCATCAATTTTTCTCGATGTCTTTTCTTCAAAATCAATTTTATAATGAATACAAATCTCAAATGTTTGAAAATCTCTTTTCTTTCTTCGAATCCTGTCTGTTTTCTTTTCAGTTTCACATGCAATCGAATAATGACGATTTCAAATAGCACAAATGCAACATTATTCTCTCGACGTTTATTTTTTTTTTCCTTTCTATTTGAATTATTGCTTTAATTTTTAAGTTCGTCTCTTTTTTTCGGGTCTCTATGTCTATTGCTCAATCGTATTAAACAGCCCAAAAATGTTACACATTGACATCAATACAATAAATCTTTTGACGTCGTTTTATATATTTACGCTTTTTTGCTTTCGTTTTATTCGATCTTTTTTTTCTTCTATCTCTTCTTGTTCGAGAAACTACTTTTGAAGTGGTATGGGAAAAAGGGCAAGACAGACACACTGTAAGAAGATCTAATCAGGTAGAAAGAAATCAGTTTAGATGAGAAGAACCCAACGAAATCACTTGTTCACTCTTGTAACGTTCACGATATTCTCGACGACGACAAACCAAATGTGTTGGAAAGATGTTTATGCTCTCAAAATCGATAGTGTCTTATCCAATATTTGAATACTGATTCTCATGAATTTGGTTTTCTTGTTTAAATTTTTAGATTTGTTTTCTTTATCTCGAGTTTGAAACTATTTTCTTCAAAATTTAACGGATTTTTTTTTTACAGTGATATGGATTACTATCTTCTTTTCCTTTTAGTCACCAATCACAATTCAAAATAATTTGATACTCAAATCGGTATTGCGCGGAGGATTTCACAAAAATTTGGAAAAAATCGTTATTGTAGAGCAAACGAATCGTAAACCATCTACACAGAACTCACTGAAGAGATCAAAAAAACTGTTGTATTTTGTTTTGATTTAACGAGAGACAGAAAAACCTTCCGCACTATACAATGCTTGAAACTCAACTGAATTCGATGTGGTGAACAGAGACCGGGGCCCATCGACAACGAAATTTATGTGTGCACACAATATAACATCGAATATTTGAGAACGCAGAGACTGGTTTTCGACGATGACGACGACGGCAACGGCTACGATTGCGACGTCACATCAGCAGCAGCAGGCAACAGTACAGAACAGCATGCTGATGCTACGAGTAATACGTAACACACGAAAATACGGAGATGAGAGAATCGTATTTGAAAATTGAGAGAATGAAGCGAAAGAGAACAACATTTGAAAACAATCAAGCGATGGAAAAGAGGTACATATTGAATACGGAATCGGAATGAAAAGAATACAGAAAAAAACGAATACAGAATGTATACACAAAAATAATACGTATACAAAAAGAACGTTCGAATGAACGAAAACGAGGATGATGATGGAAAAAAAATATATACGAATTAATAAGAAGAACATTAACCAAAACAACAACAACAACATCGACAACGATGATGATGAAGATGAACAAAGGTTTTCCATACAAACGGATACACATTGAGAAAATCTCTAGAGATTTTCAGTTTTAAACACAAGTAAACATCGCATCGCATTGTACACGCAAGCGAACCATTGACATGCAAACGCGCCTGATACACACAAACACATTCACACTCAACTTCGAAACTACCGAAAAGTTGGCTCTTTGTGTTTGTCTATGTGTGGTTGATGCTGCTGTTGCTGCTTTTATTACAATGCGCCCCATATTAAACGAAATTCGATAGACCAACACATTCACACACACACACACACGAAATGGTTTTTGGCTGTTAAAAGCAAGTAGCCTTCAACCTCTTTCCAACCATTTTTCGTGCACAAACGAAATACACTTGCACGTACACACAATGCGAAAGCAGTAGCAGCACCAAAATTTTGTATGTGCCACACCGATAAATTGCGCTATAAATGCGTTCGCATACACACAAACCGACAACAGTTTCGAGATCGTAATATCGTTGTTGAGTTCGATTTCTGGTGCCGAAAATACGCAGTGAATCGCACCACATAGTGAACCGTTGTCGAAACGCAATAAGCATGTTTGCAAGTAAGTTACATTATCAGGCAACCTCACAGAACATTTGCCAGAATCATAGATTTTGTGCTATGTCATATAGGATGCTATCTATATTAGATTTACTTTTGTACATATTTGCAATTACACACAGAGAGTGCGACATACACCCATATGGATGATCGTATGCGTTTCAAAAACGAAGGGAATCACCAATGTGACTGCATTGAGAACGAGAGAGAGAGAGAGAGAGAGAGAGAGAGAGAGAGAGAGAGAGAGAGAAATGTGTATTATAGATGGTGAATAGATTTTTGTCTATATTCAGTGTGTTCGGCTTACGAATTTTCCTTGAATGTATTTAAATTGTAAATTCCATGTGCAATGCCGAAAATGCGGCATTCTATTTTATGTATGTACATACAAGTATATTGTTTGTGCGAAGCGACACAATCACTGTGTATGCGCACCCATTATCCTCTTTGCGACGAGAGCCTCGACATTTTCCAATTGCACTGTACTACTTCAACCGAATTTTTATGCCCGATTCTATGCAGACAACAACAACAATCGCTATAATAGCATACATTTGTAACGTTTACTAGTCAAATATTCACTCGAACTGACTGATTTCAATTGCTTCATATATGTGTGTGTGTTTGCACAAGCGAAACGGTTATTTTTTTCTTTTCATACCACTTGTAAAATATAACGTGCTACGAGTTGAAAATCGTCGGTTACATTCTTCTATGGAAATCACTTAAATTGTATCGTTTCGGCACATTGCGTCAAATATACATCACGCATGAATTATGTGTAGTGTACAGCGTGTGTGTGTATTTTGCAAGTGTATATGCATGCCAATGTTAGTTGATGAATCAAAACAAAGCAGGCGTTCAGAATATTTAGAGTAATGAAATGGAATTAGCTCACGGTATTTTACGTTTTACACGCAGGATATACAAAGCAACATGGGTTGCTATAAGTTTCTTTTTCTCACTGTATTTGCATAATGACTAGAACGAGAGATATAGTAAATTTATATACATTATTCTGATTGCGCCTACATTGCCAAACAGTGTGTGTGTGTATTGATGAGTTTCCGAAATACACAATTCATCAATGTATGTTTATATCTTTCAGCATATCAAATCTGAAACTCGGCTACGAAACAACAACTCGAACAACTCCCAACAGTGCACAAATATCGAAGAACTTTATATTGGTTTGTGCTCGTTATAAGTTCGACAAGAGTGTGTTTCGAACAGTTTCATAGAATTTCCTTTTATATGTGGGCTCTTTTATGTATTATCCTTGACATAAAGAAGACAACAACAATGACGTGGTGGCCGCAAGAGTGATGTGTTTATGACTTAAACCATATGCACGGCAATGAATATTTCGATTGAATACGGAATAGAAAATCACCAATACATATACACAAAAAATAACAATAATCGGACGAAACCGAAGTTAATTTTAGATAGGGTTTGGGAAATTTGTGATTATAATTAGAGAAACATATACCTTGAAACCTGTAGGCTGATAAAATGAAATGCAGCCAATTTATGATCAAACTAATAAAAACAAAAAAAATATAACGTACGTATACGGTCTAATAAAGATAAATAAACATTAGATGAGCGTGGAACCGAGTGAAACAATGAAGATGGATGATACATAACAATGGCGGTTAAAAGAGAATAGGCATGGACGAGGAGAAAATCGAGAAAGAGAGAGAGAGCGGCTAACTGAGTTTCCGAAAATTCAAGGTTGAACGAAGATGATTGCTTCGAGTAAGAAGCACTGATGTAAAATTAAAACAAACATATGGAGAACATGATAGAAAAAGGATTCCATTAATTATATCCAACGTTGTGATCGACGATTTTTTTTTTTCGTTCGTTCGTTCTTTCTTCTTTTTTCAATCTCTTCTTTGTTCTTATTCTCTTCGCGGCAACACCATTACACCAAATTGTGAGAGGCCCAATCGTAATTTATTGTATTGGTCACTGTGCGCACTCCGTTTTGTCATACAAGAGTCCATTTATTTATTTTATTCATTAGTTTCTACCAAAACTGTTGGAAAGATTTTGTGTTCTCGGTTGTCTGTTTTTCTTCATTTCTCTCGTTTGCTTCTTCTCTGGCAAATGAACATAATTTTTGTGTCTTCGTTCCATCGTTTTGTTTTGTTAATTAGCTAAATACTAGAAGATTTCCAAATGTATTCCGATGCTAAACGCCTCGGTGGCATCTAATGAAGATTTCGGTGCACGCATACCGTCTGACATTGACTAACACGAAAAAACAATCACATTGAAAGTTTCCTTATACATAACTTTCCTATAACATAACACAACACGAACGAAAGACAAAATATGCTATGTTGATGGTTAATTACGGTGAATTATGACTGAAATTCGCTGTATGTTCAGCATTTCGATTTGAATTGATTCGAAGAAATCTATTTTTTTGTTTGTCTCTTCTTACTTAAAAGGAAAAAAAAATTGAGAAGATAAAAATATGTGCACATCGTCGCCACTTCGAGGGACGACAAACAACGACATTCAATAAGATACAGACTAGAAATCAATAGAAATTTATTGCCCATAAAAACCGAACCGAATCAAGGCGATGTAGCGTCAAGTTTTTATTACATTCGGCTGTTGTTTATTGAAGTGAAGTCCAAAGTCGTACGCTAAACGAAAACACTGCATAGATCACTTTTAATTGGATTTCCATCGAAGACAATCAAATGAGCCTATTTAACCACTTTTACCTAGACACCATTCTCTTTCATTCGATAGCGCCTTTTAGCCGACTATATATACATATTCCTACTGTGTCCGAGAATTTATTGATTCGTCCACCTTCGCACATTAAACATTCATTGCTATTTGAATTCCCTTTTCCGATTATAGTTTGCCTCTGTGCAGATAAACAATGATGGAGCAAGAGAGCGCGCGGGACAGATCTGCTATTCATTTTAATGGTCAAACCACAGAAATCCTGTTGGAATCATTAAATAATATGTCTTTCGGAGCGACAAAATGAAGTGTGTGCATGAGAAAGAGATAGAATCTGTGGGCAGGTTTCAAGCCATTGTCCAAAACATGCAAATCGATTCAAATGCTGAATGTTAAATTGAATCCATGTTATTCGATGAAGAAAATTGTTACTAATAAATGCATGTTCGTTTCTCTGTTGATGTCAATACCATCTTCCCTAGCACCACTTTACCGCCCGCACATCATGCTTTTTGTATCGTCTTCTTCGTTTATGTTTTTGGTAGCTTATGTTCTACATTTGGTTTCGTTAAATATTCACATGCCAAGTGCATGGCCAGCGATTGAAATTTGATTGTCGGCCAGGAAAGGAAATTGTTTCATTTATTTCAACTACTAAAATGAGATCAAATTCTCACGTATGCGGATTGAAACAAAAAGCATAAATCCAAAGCCGATTTGTTAGAACCCGTCTGTTTGCTTGACCGACACTACTGTGTGTGCAAAATGTTGTTGAATAATTTTAAAATTCAGAATCAATTCAACTTCTGGTCAGAGAAAACGCTTGAAAACCGACAAATTTTTGGAAAAAAATCTTCTTCTCTCGTTTGCCGTAACCATCTCTCCATAACTCTCAAACATATCGCTATCATTTCCCGCCGCATCAAATTTTTTGAATTTGCAACAATTTTTTTTGCTGTTTTCAAGCATCAAAAGCATTGCATTGCTGCAAATGTATCAGATTTTTGGTTTTACACGAGTTCAAGTATCATCTTACATTCTCAAAAAGTCTGCATTCGGCAAATACCAACTGTGCAAGCGATGCACTTGATTTCGTCATTTGCAACAGAGACGAAAATTACGAGAGATATCTCTGTGAAACATACTGTGCGAGTTGAGTGTTCTACATCTGAAATAGTATACACTGTGTTT